AAAAGAAAGCAAAGGCAGACCTCTGCGAAGGTGGATACTATACTGAATATATTTTGGCTAAGAAAGCACATAGGGTTGGAGAACTGGTTAGAGAATGATGAAGTTATGTGTGCCTTGACAAGACGACCTTCTGTAAAGGATCTGTTGATTGACTATGTTGAAAGCGCGAAGTCAAAATGAATTTTTAAAAATAAATTTCGGAACCCGAGGGGTAAACAAATCCTCCCTCTATTGAGGATTTTCACCGAGGTTTCTTGAACGAGGGCATATTGTTCTTAACAGCTAGGCCAGCCGAGCCTAAAATAGAGCTCACCTCAAGCGTGACCAAGTGTGTTCACGTCAAGTATATTCATGTTATACATGTTTACGTCGGCTCTGTGGCCAAGTCGATGCGAGCGCTTCGTAATGCCGGGATGCCAGATTCGATCCCAGCTGCATGTCACATATCACTCCTGTCGCGTGCCTAATGTAAGGATTCCTCCTTCAGAACCACAGCACTCAGAGATAATTATGTTGAGTCGTTTGGCTCGTATTGGTCTAAGGGATTCCCCGTGGCCAATATACGATCAACTTATCTCTGGAGTAGGGCAACTCAAGTATTGGCACTACAAAATATATCAGTATATAATTACAATATTTCTAGGCACACTTGGCTGGACACCCCCACTACTTACTAAAGAAAGCCCCCAGGTTATGATAGTTCATTATCATAACCATGTTAACACATATAATGAAGATACATACATATACAACTGCTAAACACTTAAGAAGGTGACATAGAGAAACCTAAGTCAGCCATGAAAATGAATGCATGTATTTAGTATAATATCTGTACAAAAACAATTGAAGTGAATTCCAGCTATCAGTGAAAGAATCGCAGCAATAATGTCTAGATTCTAAGGAAGCTATGCAGACAGCCGGTCCTGGAGGTGACTATATGTCATCATTGGACACAAGGAGCTGTGAGGAACACAACATCATGCGAAGCATCAGACTTATCTTATGTCCTTTCTGTCTATGATGCCTCCTTCAGCTCCGGATGATTCGACTGTCTTTGATTCTGGAAATTCTGCTCCGCTGGATCAAATAGTCAGAGAGTACCTCACCATAGAAGATCAGCACTGTACTGGTACTTAGCAAGTCTCTATCACCAGTAAGGACACACAATGTCTTTGAGCCACACTAAGCTCTAGCACTGGTAGCTGTTTGAGGTACCATCTCCCACATGTTGGAGATGTCAGGAACCTTCACAGGTGTTAGCTGGTGGGTAACAGTTTGTTTCTGGTGGTTTGATGGTTGGTGGATGTTGGTTGGACTGTGAAACTTC